GCTTGACACTAGTACTCTTCGTTAATTTTCACTTTAGTTTCTCCATTTTATATTGACTCATATTATTAACTATACTTTTTGAACTGGTACTCTTCGTTAAATTTCACTTTAGTCTCTCCGTTTTATATTGACTCATATTATTATATGTACTTTTTTTCGTGTCACACTTTATTCCGTACATTATGCATTGTCTCACTTTTATACATGCACTTTTCCTTAATGTCTCACTTTACCATAGTTCGTCAAATATGTTAAAATAATCGTTAATTGTGCTAATGTGGCATGAGCAATTTGGTATTTGCAACTATGTTAAAATGACCCATGAGTGCAGAGACATGATTTAAACTCAAACTAGGATTTGATTTCTCCATATTACTAAAAATAAAGAACAAGAAATCAGGAGATCAAGATTCTCATGATAGAATCCTAAGAATTTTGCAAAAGGATCCAAAACCATTGAAATTGTTTTGCGAATTTTGAAATTCAACCTTTTCTTTTTATATTAATTTTCAACCTTCTTTTCTCATATTTTTATCTTAATAGAAGAAATCAAACCTTAGTTTCAGTTTAACCCACTTCCATTAGTTTGGAGATAACATCTTAAGATGATTAAGTGAAAGAATATTCTGAAGATATTAGTTAGGAGATAACATCTTGAGATGGTTAAGTGAAAAAAAAAAAGGAAAAAAAAAACATCTTGAGATGATGATGGAAGTATTCCTTGATTGATTGTGATGAGGATTCCTTGTTTGAGTTGATCTTTAATTAAGAGTGTAGTAAAGACATGGTTTGGCAATTTTGTTTTTTGATCACAAAGACAACTTTCATTAAAATAAAAACTAGTACAAGGCCCAAAAAGGACTAGGTAAACAACTATAGGGAAGGTAAAAGGACTAAGCAAAATGAGAGCGGCAACCCAAGATACAATGAGAGGTCCACACAAGCTTAGGCTCGAAGGCAACATAAAATAGACAATAAAAAACCCTAATCTCTAGTAGCAAAGACCACATCGCCGCCGTTGTCACATCCTCGAAGGAAGCTAAACTCCGAACTGAGAAAGTAAACACCATATCCAAGTCCCCTTCACGAACCACTGTAAATATATACAAACAAAGTAACATATGAGAGGGTGAGGCTAAGGGGGTATGTAAAATACCCAACACTTAAGCCTCGATGGTGATCCGACATGTCGGTTGGGGAGGGGAGGTGAACCTGATATCCAATTTCTGATCAGAGTCCGCTGATCCAAGCACATGGTGGGATGAGGATGAAGTATCACAACTAAGGAGGATGGAGGAAGGGAAATAAAAAACAAAAGCATTAAAAGTAGGCTAAAAATGCTGGATAAGAGGCACGAAGTCCCGGATAGTTGAGACTTGGCTCAAGGAAAACTGAGATTAAACTTAGGGGAGAACTAAGAATTAAAAATGAAGGGAGAAAACTGGAAAAGATGAAGGAAGCGGAGGAAGGAAGCAGGGATGGGGGAAGAGCAAAGGAGAAGTGGGAGGAAGGAAAATAGGAAAAGTGCAAATGAAGGAAAACCCGAGAAAACTCAGGAGAGATGGAGTAAAATGAGGAAAATAAGAAAGGAAGGAAGGAAGGGAGGATGCCTCCGGCACCCAAGCCAAAGGCCAGGGTCGACATCAAAGTTGCTAGGAGGTTTTCACAGAGAGAAATTTAGAGAGAGAAAAGGGGAGACTTTTTTAGAGAGAGAGTCGGCCTGAGCTTTTAGGGTTTGGCAATTAATCATAGTTTTAATGCCTTTGACTATTCTTTCTTGCTACGAGAAGGGAGCTTGGTGGTGTCATAGTTTGTTGCTCAAGCCTCCAAGAATGTTGGACTAGGCATGGAAATATTTTTGGGCCTCACCCATTTTAATGTGGGCATTATTGTCTTCTTTAGAAAAGAGTCCACGTATCGTCTCTAAGATTTTTGGAATTATTTTTGGCTCCATGATTAACAATTCTTTTAACTTATTAGATGGAACAAGGTAAAGATTGAGGAATAATGCATGTGTTAAAGTGAGACATTAAGAATGTAGAGGTAAAGTAGGACACGAAGGAAGAACTTATGTGGTAAAGTGAGACAATATAAAGTGTAGCAATTAAAATAAGATTTGGTAAAAAGTACGCGTGTCATAGCTAAAAATAAATCAAATTGATATGAAGAAAGATTTGTCTCTTTCTCTACATTAATCTCCATTCTTTATAGTAAGATTATATTTTAGCGGCTAACATACAATCTCAAACCTAAAATTTATAAATGTTTTTTGAATGGCTTAAAGCACTGTCAGTTAAATTAATTTTGAGTTCCAAAAACGTTTTAAGTATTTTTTGAAACAAGTATCAGATATGCTTCTTGCAATAAGCAGATTAAGTGCTTTTCCATAACCTACTTGAATTTTTACTAAAGATTGGTTTAAAAAACATTTTCAATAAAAACACTTTTAATCATTTAAAAAACACGTCAAAACGAGCTGTATACTCTAAAAGTTCTAAGCGTTATACTATTAGTTATATATGTAACAACCAACATTTAACAATTAAAAACTTCAAAATTACTATGACTATTTTTCCGTTAAAACACCATCTCCTCATGTAATAATATGAGTTAAACAATAAGTTAATATCCCAACATATCAAATCCGAATTATAACACATCCACACGTGATCGCATCAAAGAACGACAGGATAATCTCTATTTGAATCCTCCCTCCTTCCTGTCGGCCTAATTTTATTAATTACTCACAAATCCTTCCTTAATTTAATCAATCAATCCACAATGAATGATGAATCTATCAAAACTGGAATAAAGTAATCGTCTTTCCCCCTGTAATCTGTGCTCTATCAAATCTACCTGCGTGTGAATGATGATTCGATTCAGCAGCTATTAAACTTAAAAATTAGCGAGAATAAACCCCAGTTAATTAAGGTAATTAATTAACCATGCTTAACAGGAAGAGGAAGGTGAAAAGAAAGTGCATCCGTACACTTATGGCAAATATCTGTATTCTACTTTTTAACCAAAATGGTTCTTGAATTTTGTATAACACATTATTTTGGTCCTTGAAATTTGTAATTAATAGGAGTGGTCCTTAAGATTGGATTGTTTATCATCAATCATTTTGGTCATTCTATGCAAAATTGTGTTAAATAAATATCAAAATGACAAATATACCGGCAATTTAATAAAAAGTATTTTGATAATTTTATTCTTATTTAATAGAGATTTTTCAAGGAAATATCAAAATGATTAATGGTGAATAAACTTATGAATTAAGTCTATTGATTTCAAATCTTAGAGATCAAAATGAGGAGTTATACAAATATAAAAACTATTTTAACTAAAGGGAATTGTTATTGGCACTCAAAATTTCTCATTTTACACTTCAAACTTTCTATATTTAAAAATAAAAATACATTTATAAGAAATGTAGAATAAAATTTTTAAAATATCATTAATACTTCTCTAACTAAAAAGCCTTCTATATATTTATAGTTGAGAGTGTGTCGGTGGTTGAGAGGAAGATCAACAGATCAGATTGGCCGTTAAGAAGGAAGGAGACGGAGAGAAAGATGGGATGGATCGGACGGTGGAGGTGGGTGGTGGTGGCAGGTTTACAGGCTGGACTCGATTGGATGGTCTGTAATGATTGGCTCCCGGATTCGTTCGTTGTCGCTTTCCGCCACCTCACCCTCACATTTCTATTTTTTAAATATTTTAATTTTTAATATTTAAATGTTTGAAAAGGAAATCAAAAAAATCCACACGAAAATGCTGGACAGCCTGGCTTCCTCAGTCAAACTCACACCCAACCGTTATCAACTTATCATTCATCGTTATCCCCTCAACGATATTACTTTATTCATTTTTTTAATATTTCCAAATAATTCTTTATTTTCCTAACAACCAACCTCTTAAATTTTTCGACTAATACGATTAATTGTAAATAAAAGTATTAATATAAAAATTAAATTTAACAGTTAAAATAATTTATCGTATTAAAGTCCGGACTATATAGCATAAATAAAATGAAGTGTTAAAATCGGTTTTCCCAACTTGAAGCCAGATTTAATCTTAACAACTCTGTTAATTTATCGTTTACATTGCGTAATCGTAATAGTCGTAGCTAACTTGATGCCTAAATCCTCTGATTATTATCTACAGGTTTTTAAGATTTTTATTTATTTTTTGATCTAAACAAATAATATTATTTACATTAGAAATGAGGAGTTAAATTTAGCCTCACAATGAATTAGTAATAATGTAATTCAAATTCGTTTTTAGCAAGAATCAAATCTAAAATTTCTCACTTATAAATAAATAAATATCAGTAGATCGTAATACTAAATGATCTATTTCAAAAATATTTAAAATTAAAAATAAATTAAAAAAACAAGAGAAACGAACACTCGAGAGTCCACCAACTGTGACAGAGTAAAGTAGACGCTCCTGCTGCTGCAGTGGGCATAAGAAAAAAGAAGCAAATAAATAAAATCAAAATAATATTTTACTACTAAAAAAATGAGTCAAAATTCTTACTAAAAAGTGAATTGTTGATTTATAGAGCTTTAGATTTACGATCACAACTTCTTAGTTTATAAATTATTCTATAAAAATTATATCTAAAATAATTAAGTAAAATTAAAATAGTTTAATTATTTAACTGTATAAAAAGGGATCAACCAAATCGATAAAGTTACAAACGGATTTCTTCTTATTCATCTTTAAAAAACCAAACATCGTTGAACAAAAAATAAAATAAAAAGGCAAAGAGTGATGTTATGCAATTCAGTTCACTTTCCAAATGACGCGTGTCCCTTCCAGCTGTATCCCAAACCTCCCAAACTCTTAACCGACTGCTTCGAACAAGCGGTGCCGCTGAAACCCACATTACCAACTATTTAACAATCAAACCTCCACCGGCCCAAGCGGTCACCATTCACCCCCTCCCCTTCCTCGTATAAAAACCCCCACCCTACGCCTCACCACTCTGTTTTATCTTCTCTGCCCAAACCCGAGGCTCTCAAACTTTCAAAATTCAAATATTTATAGAGATTAAAATCGAAAAAAAAAAAAAATTAAAGAGAGAGATTGTGTGAGTTAATTGCGATGGCGGTGATCAGGAAAGATATGGATCGAATCAAGGGTCCATGGAGCCCCGAGGAGGACGACTCGCTCCAGAAGCTGGTGCAGAAGCACGGCCCCAGGAACTGGTCGCTGATCAGCAAGTCGATTCCGGGTCGGTCCGGGAAGTCGTGCCGGCTGCGGTGGTGCAACCAGCTGTCGCCGCAGGTGGAGCACCGCGCTTTCACTCTCGAGGAGGACGACACGATTATCCGGGCCCATGCCCGGTTCGGGAACAAGTGGGCCACCATCGCCCGCCTCCTCAACGGCCGGACCGACAACGCCATCAAGAACCACTGGAACTCCACCCTCAAGCGAAAATGCTCTGACGGCGGTGGCGTCGTTTTGAATGGAGGGTACGATGGTCAATTTCTCCTTGACCACGAGCAGCCGCCTCTGAAGAGGTCCGTTAGTGCCGGGTCGGGCGTGCCTGTTTCCACCGGGCTTTACATGAGCCCGGGTAGCCCGTCCGGGTCGGATGTGAGCGATTCCAGCGTGCAAGTCATGTCTCTTCCCGACTGCCACGTGTACAGACCCGTGGCAAGATCTGGCGGGGTTTTGCCTCCAGTAGAAACGACGTCGTCTTCCAACAACAGCAGTAACAGCGAGAAGGAGAACGACCCTCCGACTTCACTGTCTCTGTCACTTCCCGGGGTCGACGCCGGGGAGGTGTCGAACCGTGTTGCGGCGGCGACCGAGTCGATCCCGGCTCCGGCTCCGATTCCGGCTGCTCCGGTGTTGAATATGCCCTCGGAGTTGCTGGGAGTGATGCAGGGGATGATAAGGAAGGAGGTGAGGAGCTACATGGCGAGGTTGGAGCAGGGCGGGGTTTGTTTTCAGCAGGCTGCGGCTGCTGACAATGACGGGTTTAGGAATGTTGGGGTGAATCGAATTGGGTTTATAGCAGGATTGAGTGAGGGAGAAAGGTGCGGAGTATTCCGGACATTTTCCTAATTACGATGATGGAATGGAGCTCAATGCAAAAGGTTTTGAGCTTTATGGACAGAAGTAGCAGCTAGGCAGTGAAAACCCTGATCATAAAATCTATGGAGGGGTCTGTGGAGGGGGACGGAAGGAAGAAGAGGGGTGGTGGTGTTGTCTTTTTTTTTTTTATTATTAATTTTTGCTTTTTTTTTTTTTTTAATAAGTAAGGGAAAATAATAATTTTGGTCAGTGTACAGAGAGAGAGAGAGAGAGAGAGAGAGAGAGGTAGAAGAAAGGTCAGAGTGGAATCCAGTTCAAAGAGGGAAGGGAACTTTGGGCCTTGTTCATCGATAACCATGCAACCTTTAAGGGAAGAAAAATGGAAAGAAAAAAAAATGGGAGGAGAAAAAAGAAAATGAATCCTTGAAATTTCACTTATTTTTCGTCCTCTTAATATTTAATTTCCAGTTTGTTTTTGTTGCTCATATTATTGATCTCTGCTGTGCAATGGTAAAACTGAAAATGGGTATCGTTGCTCTACATTCGAGGGATTTTGGGATATGGAGAAACGGTGAAATGAAAACTTCATCCTATATCGGTAAGGTTTACGAAGTTGATGACGATATCTACCGATTACTACATGAAATTTGTCCAAATTACTTTAGATTTTAAATTTACGAATTTTTTTAGATATTTTTTTTTCGATTAAATTTAAACGAGTTCTTATACTTAACGTCAATTTTTCGTCAAAAATAACCTCATTGTAATTTTTTATATTTTTCTTGAAAACAACTCACACCAAACAATGTTTTTTTTTTAAGACTATAGTTTTTACACTAAGGAAAAAATTGGGTTTAGTCTTATAGGTTAGTAATAATATTGTTCAAATTTACTTTTAGTAATAATTGAATTTGAAATTTTATTTATGAGAAATACTAATAAATCGTAGTATTAAATAATTACATATATCAAACGTTAATATCGATATATTAAACGAGACCACAGCATTCACAAGACGAGACGACAAAAGGTAGTGTTTGAACAATTGAAACGGTTGTTGGCGTATAATTAGAAGAAAAAAGAAGGTAAGTAGGATACGTTTCTGGGTTTGTGGCCGTAAGATCTATAAAGGCAAATATTTAAATACCCAAACAGTGAAAGGCTTTCTGGTATTTCTGGTTAATTTGTTCAAACTTAAAATATAGGGATGGAGGTGGGGCTGATGCGACAGCAAATGGCCTAATACCTAACAATATAAGACGGGATTTGTCAAAAAAATAAAAGGAAAAGTGGGAGGTGGAACTCCGTTTACTTGTTGGGTAAGAAAAATATCTCAATATCTTTGCCTTCCACCCAACAATCAATTACGCAAAAAGGTGACTTTGCACTTGATAGGGTAGATATTTTGAGATGTTGAGTTGAAGGTGTGAACAAATGCTCACACCTTCAACTCATCAATCGAAACTCATAAAAAATATTTGGTTTCATTACGTTGAATACCTGGAGTTTATCGTGACTCCCAATATTCTATAGCGGTTAACTAATAACTATGAACAAATTCAATCGTTAGTAGCTGAAGCTCTTCAATACATAAAACATGCTCTATTGCTTTCCAGCAAATACAAGTTTAGCAGCTAGCGCCATTGCTTTCTCCATCGTCATCTTTCATAGTTAGAGATTTTACGTGTTTGAGGAGTTCACGAGCTGAGTTGAGATTGGTGTGTTCGGAGGCTTAATCCATCTTATAAGTTACGACAATAAAGAATAATTACTGATGACATTTTACGTAATTTGTACACATTTTTTTAGCCAACGGATGAATATAAAAGTATGTAGAGGCGTTATCAACAAGATGGTGTCTTTAATAAATTGGGGACATCATCCATGGTAAAATATAGGTGGAAAGTTGAAAAGATGGACGGTTGGGAAAGTCGAATGTGGGCGTGGAATTTGTTGGTAAGGAAGCACTTTGCAGTTGAAAAAAAAAAAAGGAGATAGGCATGCAAATATCGTTATCGTTAGGTGGTTGACCCATGTCAGCAAGGGAGGGAGGCATAAAACACATGACAGCTCCATGCACTGTCTTCCAAGCACGGATTAGGTAATTACTGAAAAAGGTAGCTTGGTGAGCAAGATATGGAAAACAACTATGACTCCTTCCGGCCGCCGCCCAAGTCCTCTACGAAAGGAATATAAGCTTGTAAAATCCTCCCCAAGTCTATTTTTCTGTAAATTAAAGGGCTATTTTATTGCTTCCTAGGGTTTGAATTATACATACGAACTCCATTGTTGCAAGTTTTACAGAAGAAATTGTGATGCTCAACGAACTTCGGACTGAAAATCCAGATTTTTTACAGGTTAAATAACGGACTCTTGACCAAATGATACTTACAGAAGATTTTGACGGTTTAACCAACGAGTTACAAGGGGAAAAGGTGTCTTAAGTTACTCAGCTGCAGCTTGGATGGTGTTTCCGCTGGATTTAAGTGTCCTCGGTGATACGAGTTTAGATTTCAGTTCGTTCACCAAATGCAATAAATCCTGCCTCCAGGACCACGTTGGGTGGTTTAGAGCGCGGATGGAATTGAGGCAAACAAGAAGCGTACCACCTTCGTGTAATAGAACCTACATGTCAACCAAACAAGAGCAATAATGAAACCTGAAGCTGAAGTTAGAGAGCAGCCAATAGTTTGTGGCACTGCTTCTAATGGCGTACTCTAAAAGACATGGAAAAGAAGGTAGCAAAAGGTTTCAGAAATAAAAAGACGAATCGATTCATACCGTTAACCAGAGGGGAAGAAATCCTAATACGGATGGAAGAGAAGCCAAAATTATACAGGATAACGCAAGGGCTACACTCTGCTTCACCTGCATTTGCATGAAGAAAATAACGTCAGTAACAGAAAATAACAAACAAGTGATGGGATAGATGTTCAGCAAGTACCAAGGCAGTTGTTTGGCGAGACTTGGCGATACAGAATGGTACAGCAGATATATTGTCTCGCAGCAACAGAACATCTGCAACAGCTGTGGCAGTTGCACTAGCACGTTGGGCAAGGACAATCCCTACAGTGGCTGCTGCTAGCGCTGGAGCATCATTTATACCCTCACCGACCATTATCAGACCCCCACCTGTAGTAAATCCCAGAATGTGCTGAGCTAAACAAAGTAGCTTCAGAAAATAGGTGAGGGAAAGACTGGCATACCTTCGATAAATTGCCCACCACCATAGACATGATTAATTCAACACTTGATATAATGCACAGGACATTATGGAAATTAGAATGAAAAGGATATGGACACGGGGGAAACAAGAAGAAAAGACATTCTCAGTCAAAATACATAATGCAAATGCAATTTCCATTCCTGGTACTCATATTAATAATAGTTAACAAACATGCAGGACATGCATAGACAAGTTGTTAAAATATAACACGTTTAGGAATGAATTTAACAAAGTAGAAAGGTAAACAAATTCCTGAACCTTTTAATTATGCTAAGACAATCGACAGAAGACCCAAATGAGGGCGTACATAGTACTTAATGTTACCTAGTCATCAACTGTGCATCTGCTGAACCTCAGATATACATGAAGAGTGAAAAGATTAAAAGAACTGAATGAAGTGCTACTTTGTCATTGGGGAAACAGAAAACCTACATATCATTTATATTGAGAGATACAAGGAGCACTAATCAAATGGCATGTTACTAGGCGTAAAGATCATAAAACTCACCCGTATCCCTTGAGACATCCTTAACATGACTGAGCTTATCCTCAGGCTTCAGGCTGCAATAAACTTCATTGATACCAACAGAATTTGCAACTCTCCAAGCACTTGAATCATGGTCACCAGTCAACATCATTACACGGAGCTTTGCTTGATCTTGTAACTCTTCTATGACATCCGAAACCCCAGGTCGAGGCCTATCCTCAAGGTGAATCAAGGTTACCTGCATAGGTTCATCCAGATTTAGAAAACGCTAAACAAAGACACACCATAGGAATATGGGTGTTTATATCGATAAACAAACAAAAGTTTCGGGAAGCGTCCATCCTATATAGCTTGCTAATATACTCTCCTAAATATGTACGTAGGTTGGGTAGTTTTGAACACCAGTATGCAAGTAAACCTTTTTGCAATAAGGTTAATTATGCACATTTAAAAAAGAATTAAGTTTAGTTACGCACATTTAGGCTAAGAACTAACCTATTTGTGTTCACTCTGCAGTTCAGTTATATCTCATACCCTCATAATTTCAACCAAACCCAATTACTATACCCTTATTTCACACTTCTTTTAACACCCAAACAAAATGAATATACTCTCATAATTTCAAATCCCACAAATTTCAGTCGTCACACCCACTTCAAACCAAAAGTTCCCCTTATTTGCACACTCTTAAAATGAAACCTCACCTTTTCATTGACGGAAAGAGCAGCACGAACAAATTCTGTTCCATACGAAGATGCACTAACAGCCTCCTTGATCTTTTCTGATGCATCTTTTGATCTACAAAGTGAGGTGATGAAATCTACTGAACCAAGAGATGCTTTCAACAGTTGACCCCCTTCAGTTCCTAACTATAACGAGATCGAAATCAATGTAAATCATTCTACCTCTCACTGGCCAAAAACACTTAAAAACGTAGGGTAAAACCATGAAAGACAATTGATGCCCTATGATCCATTCATTACATTTGTATTGATATGCCATCAGAAAAGAAAATAATCATGCACATAGAGCACCGCTGGAATCAAGGTATGTAATGTTGTGATTTGGCTCGTCAAAATACCAAGGCCAAACAGGTTGAGGTGTCCAATTGGTGTTGGGAAAGGAGAAAAGGAATGTGCACAGGTTATTTCCCATAAGATTAGGAAATAGGTTTTTCTTTGTAATCCCAATCAGTTTAGGATTAGGAAGTAAGTTTTCCCTATTCTAAAAGGATTTAGGAATCCTATACTTGTAAGGCATGTAACCATTGGTCTATGTACTATAAATAGGCTTGTTGGGGGCTGTTTATTCACATGAACAGCCGAGAGAATACTAGGGTAGAGAGCCAAGAGTGATAGAGAGATCTAAAGCAAGGTTTTGGGGTTAGCATAAGGGTTTTCATTAAGTTCTTAATCGAGTTGTTATTCTCCAAAGTGCAGGTCATTTCTCAATAGAGATCACACAAGGAGTAGGCAAAGTTCGCTGAACCTCGATAAATTCATGTTTACTTAATTGTTCATATATTCGCGTAGCACCATCTTATAAGTTTGCACAACAAAACTTAAGACCATCGATAAAAAAGATCAACTAAGGGGGATTAAAATCTACACATAACCGATAGATACCGGTATGGATTAAAAAATAGCTAAGACATGGAAACGTGGCAGCAAATATAGATTACAAAACAGAATGGGGTCATATTGGATAAGAAAATGAGTGAAGCACTTCATTTTTAAAGCTGGAAATTTATAAAAGAAAAGGTATATACTAGTTAGAAAGAAGCATACCTCGATGCCATTGAGAGTAGCAATTAGACCTCTGCCTGGAAAATACTCAAAACTCTCAATAGAAACAGAAGGAAGGTCTTTACCTTCGCTATGGTCAACCACAGCTCTGAAAGAAAAATAGAATGACCGATAAGTATTGATATTATCATCTTCAACATGTTTCATCTGTTAAATAGTATATTAGATTCGAACATATCTCATTACTAGATAGAGGGCATTAAGATTAAAATAAACGTTGTCAGCAAGGAGTAAAGTTGTTCATTACCCTTTTTGAGTGGGAAACAATGTGTGTACAAGTTGAATCAGAAAGGATGTTTTACAGATTACAATTGCCAGGGATAGTAAGTTGAGCAGAAAATTAAATAGGACTGCTGTCCAAAAACAGTACCTTCCAATAGGGTGAGTGGTACCCTTCTCCATTGCAGCGGCAACAGCAAGAGCCTGCTTTTCACAGCTGGGGAAACAACAGGAAGAAAAATCTGATATACTTTTTCTCATCCGATGCCCGTAAATTGGTTCAATTGCTTTGAACGCCAAACCCCCGGTTGTCAAGGTTCCAGTTTTATCAAATGCAATAGTGTGACAAGAAGCTAGAGCATCTAGCACATGGCCACCTTTCAGCAATATCCCCTGTAACAAATATAAAAGGTGGCATGTCAAACCCAAATAGCACATGCCATATTACTGCACAGAATTTAAAATTGTAAACACGTAAATGCATGAAAAGCAAACTAGTTCTTGATTATAGCATTGGTTAAAATGCCTACCTTCTTCGCACAGGAACTAATTGCAGTAGCATATGCCAATGGAGCTACAGCCAAAGCACATGGTGAAGCTGCCACCATGAGGCCCAATGCTCTATAAACTGATCCTCTGCAAGCTAAAGGATTAAGCAAATATCAACTAGATGGACGATGAGCATGCCCTCTATTATGAATACATCTAGTGCAAAGCGGTATTCAACTAGTTCTTTTAGAAGCAGGAAATAAGGTAGTTCTTTCAGGTTTTGGTATCGCAAACCCATCTAGCATTCATTTTGTCTCAAATTTTTCATTTCCCAGGCTTATCCGTGGGATCCAGTAAAGCTAAAAAATAAATAAAATAAAAAAAATAAAACTCTTCTTAGGGAAGATTACCTGATGTTCCAATAAATGGCCACTTGAATAGGAATGGGCCAAGAAGAGCAATGGCAGCTGACAAAACTACCACCACCTTGCTGTATTGCTCTCCAAATTGATCCAACCACCTCTGAAGCTTTGGTTTGTTCAATTGTGCTTCTTCAGTCAATTGCACAATTCTACTAAGGGTTGATTCTTTCCAAGTTTTAGTTGCCTGCATAACCAATCGGATTTAGCACCTAATCAACGCGCATTACAACAATCTTACTAGCATGAGAACTCTAGAAACCCATCCTTGACAACTTTCAAGATCATCCCGTCAATGACTGTGGCATGAATTATATTTCCAAGGTAAATTGGGAATCTAGTGAATTACATGCGAAGTTTAAGGGTTATAAAAATATCTAAAAACTGGGTCAGAAAAGACTCATTCATGAGAAACATCAAAGGTGTTACATGTAACTTTCAGTGTGGCTTCTATCATTTACATAGGGAGAAAAATTAAATATGAAAAACAAGTTCTTTTTCTTTCAGTTATGTATCCCATTCTGAAAAACTCGAAAACAAAATATTCAAGAATGTACCTTCAATATTATCCTGCCATCCAAGTTCCTTGCACCACCAGGAACCCTGTCTCCAACTTTTGTCTCCAGCGGTTTGATCTCTCCAGTCAAGTGCTCGATAGTAATGGTGGCAGTACCTTGGAAAACTTCACAATCTACAGGCACAGACTAATCACAACACCAGCCCCCATTACAATGCTTCCATATTGTAATGGATCATTTAGTGAGAGATATAATGATATATCATTGTAGTGAGGACAAGACCTATTGAAGACCCTACCAAATCATTCCACTAGTGATACAAACATCAAGGTCGTAAATTTGGTTCCCGTACCTCACCAGCTCCGACGAAAATGTACGACCCCACTTGTAAGTCGTGCACAGGAACCTGCTTGTACTCCAACTCGGATGTATTAGGAAGTTGTCCGTCATTGATATCCAGCACAAGAGCGAAATCCGGATAATTTTCCTTCAACTCTTTGACGTCGATCATAGACCGACTTGTGAAATACTCCTCAGCTGCATTGACAACACATAATGATCAATACAAATTGCTAGCTGCCACCAAATAGTAGCGAAACTGAAATGCTTACCGATATGAGCAAGGTTGAACATGGCCAAAAGTAACCCTCCTTCTAATGCATTCCCCATAAACACAGACGCAAATGCTGCTAAAGCCATCAATACATGAATGTTCACCTTCCCGCCACTTAAATCAGTAAGGGCGTCGAGTGCCGCCGAGACCTACAGTTAAATCCAAGTCAAATTCAATCAATTGCATATCAAATTATAGGGTTTTAGCCAATAAAAAAAAGGAGGATGCTAGTTCTTTAGTTCTTACCCCCACTAGAGGAAAAGCGACGAGTATGAAGGCGTTCTGCATAGGCTTCGCGGCCAGCTTGGGCATCAAATAAGGGCAAGCGGCGGCGGCGAGAAGCAGAGCGGCGGAGCAGAAGCACAATTGCAAGTGTTCCCTGAGGAAGTCGGCGAGATCGGTCCATCGCACGGCCTTGGCGAAGCGGACGAACTGTTTCTGCGATCCAGTGAGCTCCGCAGAGTCGTGGTGATGGTGGTGGTGGTGGTCGTGATTATGGTGGTGGTGGTGATCATGATCGTGATCGTGATCGCATGTACCGGAGGTGCATCGGGGAGTGTTGGAATTGCGGAGACGAGGAGGGGGAAGAGGAGGGAGGGATTTGAAGCGGAAGATGGGAGGACGGAGGAGGGGGTGGTGGAAGATGGGTTTAAGGGAGGGCGAGTTGAGTCGAGTTGTAGTGGGGAGATGACTCAGTAGGAGGGAGTGGTGGTGGTTGGTAGTCACTTTAATTGGGAATGGATAAGGGAGGAGGGATTCCATTTGGGTTTTGGTAGAGAGAGAGAGGGTGTTCAAAACATGTTCGTCGGTGAGACCTTGAGAAGTGGAAGAGGAAGTTGTGTTCCCGTCGGTCTTTTATTTGTTGCGAGGGTTCAGAGTTTTGGAGTTCGGAATGGTCGGTCTGCAGATTGGGTGGTGACATTGTCTCCACAGCATGTCCTCATGTGGAAACCCTGAAGTGACAACTGGGATTTTGGGGCCGTTGATTTTAATTTATTTACACTTTCTATTAAATTAAATTGATTGTTTGGTCAACTATTAATTGTTAGTGTGACAATAAATGACTCAACTCTTAAGACTATAATCATAGTAGAAATAACACATTAATGTCGTCTCGTGCACTATCACGTAAACAAATCAAACAATCAACTTAACGGAAGATATAAATTGATATGTGATGTGATAAAAATCGGAGCATACCCTATTTGAATAACTTCAATGGTGTAAAATATGCAATCATTTTATGAACATACTTGTTTGGTTAATTACAAATTTTTCGCCTTCATGTTTCGGTTTTTTTTTTTTTCTCACTTCAATCACATAAATTTACCTCATTTCAAGATGGTCTCTAAATTTGTGAAGATGTATTGAATGAGGTCTTTAAATTTGTGAAAAATGTGTTTAATGAGGACATGTAGAAATTTTCATTACAAAAATTGATACAACGATATGTGAACACTTTTGTCTAGGGTTTAATACTCCTAAGATAAATTGCACTAATCATCCATTTGGTTGTGATCACATGTCAATTACTACCTTAGTTAAAAGACTTACCAATACCTTTGTGGTTAAGCCCGTTACCAATCTAAGACCAATTCCAAGTTTTCATCCATATTACCTCTAATTCGAACCATTATGCACATCACATTCTTTGGTATATTCATAATTTAAATATCGAACAAGCACTAGTACTATGATCTAACGACATTCATCTTTTCTTGTAAGTTAGAAATTTTGTATTTGACTTACATATATAAAAAATATTGGAGCTGAGCTTAAAGCCTAATTACATTAGCCCAAATGTCACCCTCTTTTATGTAATGATGGACTCCCATGCCCTCCTTAACCACCCCCAACCCCCCCCCTAAGGTAGTGTGAGTGGTGACGTTTTTAGCATTAGACGTGGCGTCTTAGGCTCTTGGACCCCTCACACTACAAGTTGTTATTCTGCATTTCGGCTGTTTGTCTCTCTGTAGGCTTTCTGTGTATCTTTCTAGCATTTTTGCCTTGGTTTTATGGAATCCAATTTACCAAAAAAAAAAAAAGAATGATCACACTCCCTCCAGTGCCTTAAAATGAGCTTTTGCGTGGGCAAAATTAGGCATAATTTAAATAAAAATATTGCTACACGTATAATGTTGATATATGACGTTTGAGCATCAATTTCATTCATCCATCAAGGGTTCAAAACTCCCTATTCTCTAAAATATTGTAATATTTTGAATTCTTTACATTTTTATTTGCACATTGAAAAGAACAATGTATATGACGCTTGAGCATGTGGTTCAATTTCACTCATCCATCAAAAATTCGAAACTCCTCATCCTCTAAATTATTGTAATAGTTTCGAATCCTTACATTTTTATTTGCACATTGAAAAGACAATGTATATGACACTTGAGCATGTGGTTCAATTTCTCGTCCATCAAGGATTCGAAATTCCTCATCCTTTAAATTATTATAATAGTTTCGAACCCTTTACATGTATATGGTGAATTCCAAAATGAGGTCTAGAAGTCATCGGTAACGGTGGGCAACGGTCGTAACAACAACAATGATGATAGTTTTTCGTCTTTTTATTTCTTAATCTCATTTTGGTGATTTGAAGTTGTAAATTTTGATGGGTATTTTGTCCAATGAAAATTTCTTTGGCAATAAAGGGGAAATACAAGGGAGAAAAAAGAGATGGGAATGTAATGAAAACTCGAAACTGATAGCAGCTTTTAGTAAGTTTTATTTTCTAGTTTTTGTTTCGTAAATTGCCCTTCATTTTTCGGTCATTCGTCCCTTTACTCTTCATCCACCTAATTTTTTTTTTATCATTCTTCTATATTTACTCTTCTATATTTATCAGAGAAGATGAAAACTAAAAATGAAATAGTCACCTAACAGACCGTGAATATTAAATGCATACCAACATTCTAAATATCTAATTCAATGACGTGTTCTTGGTCATGTGAGAAGAACATATGTCTTGCTCATGTCTCCACATATCACCCAAAGGCCAAAAGCATGCCTTTTCTCTCGTCTCAACCAATACGATAGATTAAGGCATGGTTTGATACTGAGGTGATTCTGAAAAAAACTGATATAAAAAAAAAGCTGGGAGCTATTTTTGTGTTTGGTAAACATTCAGCTTCAGCTTTTTTTCACAGTTTTGGATGAAAAAAAGCCAAAAACAAGAAGCTGCAAAACCTAGCTTTGAAAAACTGGCTTTTTTTCACATCTGTTTTACATAAAAGTCTACCAAACACTATAATATTGTTTTTTTTAATTCAAAAGCACTTTTACAAAAAAGTTTACCAAACACTCTGTTGCTTTATTTTACAGCTACTTATTCTCACAGCACAGCAGAAGCAGTTTTTTTTTCAAAGCACAACAATACCAAACCAGCCCTAAGAAAAGAATTTCATGTATCGAACATTTATTTTTGTCCTAATATCTACTTTATATATATATACACACACGCGCGCACACATAATGAAGAAAAAGGTTTTCATATCTCAAACATTTATTTTTGTCCTAATACATACATACTTACTTACATACATACATATATATAGACACACACACCTACCTCGAAGATTGGCAATCCCACAAAAACTTCAACAATAAGGGCACCGAGGCGGCCTGTTGTAAGAAAACCAAACACATGTCAAGTTGTGCATGTAGTTAAGTTGGAATAGTATTGGTGTGTGATTAGCAATGGATTATTGGTCAGAATCTGAAACCTTAACTAAATGTCCCCACGAACAGGAAAACAGGTGCAGAAAGATGTATAGCTCGTTTGGATGTGGTTTTAAAATGACTAAAAACGCCTTTGGTGAAAATGTTTTTTGAACCAATTCTTAGTAAAAATGCAAGTAAATTTTGGAAAAGCACTTCAAGTGCTTTCTGAAAGAAGCACATAAATGGTGCTTCTAGCAGAAATCACTTTAAGTGTTTTTGGAACCAAAAAACATTTTCTCTAAAAGAGCTTTCAGTCATTTTAAAAACACATCCAAACGAGCTCATAATGTTGAAGGTTTTGTACCGAAGAATGAGATTCACTCTACTAATTACCCTTTGGTTCCTGGGTAAGTAAGACCATATATTTTGACATTCTTCATGCATGCATGCATGTAGCATTTTATCAAATAATTAACCTTCACGTTTGGGGAGGCTTCTCCTCTGCCTCGGTTGTTCATCCAAGGTAATCAACAAGTTTTTAATTAGTTAGGAACCGTGAACCGCACCGAATTTAACCAGTCTAGTTCAGTTTTGACTTTTGACTGTCAACCACCGAACCAAACTGGTCAGTTCGGACCAGACTACCATTCCGGTTCACCACCTTTTCGGTTTAAACGTCCACCCCTAGCAAAAACATGAAATCTAAGATCTATCCTTGTAGCCTTTCATTTTGAGTTACCCTGCAAATAATTAGAGTAAAATGGACGTTTGTGGCTCTGATACCCGAAATTTAGCGCCGGTTCAAAATAAACACGAACCAGTAAAACAAAGCATTGCGATGTTTCTTCTTTAGCCTGAAATCGCTTAAATTTGATCAAACTTTTCGTAGTTCAACAAATGTGATGCTCTACTCAAGAGAAATATTATGACAGATTCCTACTCGATGCCTATATTAAGAATCCAAACCAATGCACGTCATAAACACAACTATTACTTCCAAGGTTACAGAACGATTACAGTATTCAAGAAGCAATTGTCTGTAACTGTCGTTGAAATAAAATTCCCGACAGAATACACTAAAGAAAACTAAGTAGAAACCGAAAAGAAAAGGAAAAGAATGAATTAATGCTGATGTTACAACAACAATTGGATGTTCCACGTTTCTGGATTGCCTAGGTGGATGTATCGATAATATGCCATGGTCATTAATCTCTACAGTCTCTGCCATCCGTCCAACGGTGGCAAATATGTGGCAACAGAAGTTAGAGCAGTTCATGTGGCAATTCAATCATGTTTTCCCTTACCTTTCCCTTCAATGCTTTTCGAGCCATCATAAGCGGAAAGGAAGAACGTACTCTGATTTTTCTGCATAAACCTGCATGACAATGAAAAAAATTACTTGGAAGTGTACAAGAGGCTATAATTGAAGTGAGCTGCACCGAATTTGAAGAACATCATCAAAATAAAAGTGGCAGTGCACATGAAATACATCATTACTACTTGGAAGGTAAACTGGAGTTCCCATCAACTTCTTCAGGTTTTCTAATTAAATGACGTTGACTCATCTTTTCCTCTAGTTTTAATTGATTACACAACTGAATCTGAAATAACTTGCAAATAACCGGGCACAACTCATTTTTGCAATTTGAAACTTGAAAGAATAGTGAGAAAGTAGCAAAATGTGACAACGGTGATGATGCTTAAGTTTTCATCTATTCTTACATCAGCTAAAATTGAGAAAACAGATATATGTCCAAAAGGGTCATTTATGCAATGTATAAAGTTTGAGAGGATACTTGAGAAAATCAAGTAATTTCTGCTGCAAGTGGCTTTGTGTTTCCTCCTCAATGTTGACATATGCCAACAGCTCCGGCAACTTAACTGCAAACACCAGAAATCTGTCACTTCTGCACAAAACTTAATTGACCACTTTCATGACAAAACATTTTTACTTTCAAATTTCACAAATCATCTATTGTTATGGTTGTCAGATCAGAAGAGACCTTTTATGCAAACCACAAATTCGTAATGCAAAAGGAAAACATTAGAATTTCAAAATCAACAGCTTGGATTAGGTCTATGTTTCTCCAGAAAGTTGTTGCCAGGGTC